TTTAAAACTCAACAATTAACTTGTCTGCTTTCAATTGCCGACCACACACTTGTAAGGTAAATCAGAATGGGAATGGATAAGGGAAGTTGAATGGTTCTGTTTTTAGTGAGCCACAGTTTCAACTATTTTGCCAATTTTTTTAGCAGTATTCACAATCCTTCTTTCTCCTGTGTAGACAAGTGTAGTCAAAGATCCCATATCAGTCACAGCCATATTTACTCTTTAACTATTAAAATTTGTGACATTCTAGCATGCTTACAGTGTCTTAATACCAATAAAGGTCTTGGTCCAGATGGAATATCGTAACTTATTTTTAAGGAATTGTGCATTCTTTTTATGTAGGCCTCTATGGCTTATTTTTTATAAATCTCTGAGGGTCACTTTTCATCACAATTTATTTATTGATTTTATCCATTGATTCAGCCATTAACTTATTGATTCCTAATTCACAAGGAATCTACGTTCCTGTAGTTGGCTGTATACCATGTATTAAAAATTTAATTAAAAATCCTTTGTAATAGGTATATATTTAAGGCCCAAACGGGCTAAGTTAAAAAGACAAAACGTTTTCGGAAACCATGTTCCATCATCAGTGTCTATGTACTGAGAAGCCAAGTTGACCATACCGTCAAATAAAATTCACAAGGAATCTACGTTCCTGTAGTTGGCTGTATACCATGTATTAAAAATTTAATTAAAAATCCTTTGTAATAGGTATATATTTAAGGCCCAAACGGGCTAAGTTAAAAAGACAAAACGTTTTCGGAAACCATGTTCCATCATCAGTGTCTAGTCTGTCTGTGATGATGTCTGTCATCAGTAGACACTGATGATGGAACATGGTTTCCGAAAACGTTTTGTCTTTTTAACTTAGCCCGTTTGGGCCTTAAATATATACCTATTACAAAGGATTTTTAATTAGATTCCTAATTATCGTTCCATTATAATTCTTTCTACTATTCCTAAAATTTTCGAGGCTTTACTGACTGATTTTGACTGAAAAAACATTTTTTATGTCGATTAGATTTATACTGACTTGTCGCATCTACTGTTCTTGCAAATTGTGTAGACCATATTCTTATTCGGGTATGATCAATTTCTTGAATCTGGATTCTCTTATCAAAAGTGTTATCTTTTAATCTTTATTTTTAAACTTGTTCATCAAATAACCAATCTCCTGAATTGCTTCAGCTAGTTTGTTTTAATATTCCTCCCATTCACTGTGCCAGTATTTATATTTCCATGTTCCTTACTGCAGAACTAATTATTATTCACACATAGATATGGTCTGAAACTTTTGTATCAATAGGTTTAGGTACTATTTGAAGCACTAAAATGCTAAATGAAACTTTTTATAAATGTGTACATATTTATTCATGTATGTTTTATTTTTATCTGTAATTTTGTGTATATTTCTATAATGTTCCATTTTTGTATAATTTTGACAGTGAATTTGTTCCATTTGTTATGAATAAATAAATATATGTAATAATAAATGTTAGTTCCTTTAAACATTTATGTTTTATTACTAAAAATTATTTTATATTTCTATAATGTTGCATTTTTGTATAATTTGGACAGGGGATTTGTCCCATTTGTTAATAATAAATAAATGTAACAATAAATGTAAGTTCCTTTAAACATTTACGTTTTATTACCCAAAATACATTCTTAATATGCACAGGATGACACCACTTTTAGTATTTTATACAATGGCGTTGACGTCTAATTTATATCCTCAGCACTAAAATAGACGTCCGAGAACATCACAAAAGTCCGTCAAGTAAGTCCTCCGGACGTATTATGGACGTCCGATTAAGGTCCAATTAACGTCCCGGTACGTCCAACTAACGTCCGCTCGGGACGTAAAATGGACGTCCATAGGACGTTCGGCGCAGCGACATTCGGACCAATATAGGACGTTAAACGACGTAAATAGGACCAAAGCGGACGTCCGAGGGACGTCCTTAAAGTCCGTGAGGGACGTACTATGGACGTCCATTGGACGTACGTGTGCTATTAGGGACGCCATTGATACGGGAATACTTCACGTTTCAATAATATGCTGGTGGGGTGGCAAACATAGGACAGTCACAGTACAGTGTTATCAATACTTTATAACCTTATACCACAGACTAATAAACATCAAAAATCAGAATGCTCACTCTTCATGGAAAATTAAGTACGCGCATCTAGTTCGCGCAGACGTTCCGCCATGTTTTAAAGGGAACCAGTGTTGTTTATGTGGTGTGCATAGAAAAATTAACCCGGTTTAATTGACTCACGGTAATCATAAACGCATTATACAATTATATTAACATTGTTAATATAGCATATAATATGATAAAACATATAATAAGATAAAAATATAATGTAATTAAACATAAATATAAACAATTAAATAACCTCACAAATCATATGTCTGTGTTATGTGTTTCCTTCTTAAACATGGCACGCGAGCTGAAAAACTTCAAAGGCGGCATCTGAGAGTGGGCATTCTGATTGTTTATTATTCTGTGCTTATACTAAGTTTGTTAACCTAGATGTTTATCTTGATCAATTTGATTGGCAACAAATATATAACTTTAATAAACTGTATTTATAAATACATCAATTAATATAGCTTAATAGCTTTAAAAACGAGTTATGTTTGTGTGTGCCTAAACTATTAAATAGACGTTGTCGAGAACTAGCTAAACTAAAAAATTGAAAATATATACTTTTGTATTACTTACAATGTTTTATTATGTATTTTAGCGTGTTACAGCAGCCCTAAAACTAAGTTTATCTACTGTTAGTATTGTTTTCTCTAGTTATTAAAATTATTGAACTTTTAAAATCACATAAAAAAACGGTATCACAAAAAGACTAAAACTAATACAGAAAAGTTGAATGTTATTTATGAATGGTAAACGTGATGTTATTTACGACATATAAAAAACAAATAATAGTATAATATAATAAAAGTTACTGATTTATTTGGTGCCCCGTTTAAATGTGTTTAAAATTATACATATTTATGTGATATTTTATAATACTATGAATTAAACGTATCTCGTTTTTCATATTATTGAAATTTTAAAAATTTGATTATTTTCTTCATTTTAAAAATCCAATTGACTAATTTCTAAAACTAAAATTCCTCACTTAATGACTATCCTGATGTTTATGCAACACTGTGGGGTTCTAACGTAGTGAATCTTGAATGACGTGCACTTTTTTTTAAGAGAAAAATTTTAGACCACTTTGGAAATTAAAAAAAAAAATTCAAATTCAAACGCTTAAATCAATTTAAATTGCTTGCCAACTCTTAATTTTGTTCATATAGTTTTGTAGAGAACAAAAAAAATTTATTAAAAAAACAAAATTAGTTTTCCACGAGGAAACTAAGTTCCTGTAGCTGGCTGTATACCATATATCACAAAAAAATTTTGTTTAAAATCCTTTATAAAAGGTATATAAAAATGCCTCAAACGGGCTATCACAAACACATTGCAAAACGTTTTCGGATTAAACAATCCATCAATTAGAAAATGTAAAAAGGCACATGTGGGAAGATGGGTCCTAAAAGATATATTATTGAGTATTGATGTAGTGGGTGGAGGTGTGTTTAGATATGTTATTGAGCTGAAAACACACCTCCACCCACTACATCAATACTCAATAATATATCTTTTAGGACCCATCTTCCCACATGTGCCTTTTTACCATTTTCTAGGTACCAAATGTCTCACAACATACAGGGCCTTTTGACAAAATCTCTAGCTTAAATAAATATATCCTTACACATGTATAGTTGGTTGCCTATCAATCCTACAAAATTTCATAAATTCTAGTTGACCTACATTAATTTTTAAAAAACCAATTTTCAATGTTACAAATATACCTATCTGATTAATTTACAATACAGATTACAATATTGATGGTTGATACTGTAACATTATTATAATTTTAACTTTTTCAATTTTAAATAAGGCTGACATCTGTCAATTTTAGACAACTACCGTAAGTTACACTGACTGCTCTGACACAACATCCGTCCTAACTTGTCAACAATGTCATTTTGATCAGTTGTTATCAACAGGTCCTCGTAGACACTTCGTCTCAGGACCATTTTACTCATGTAGAGTCATACGCCGCCATGTTACCTATCCAATGGTAACTTAACCATCACAAATTATAAATACTAATAATGTAAAACAACTTCAAATTTATAACATTTAAAGGGTTTTTACCCATATATTTTAGTGGCTACTAGCATGTACAACCGGAAGTATTAACCACATTTTGCTCTACCCTTGGTCAACATTTTCATTTAACGTTCTTTTTAATTAAAGTGGTTATATACTTTCAGGTTTGCACTGATGATGGATTGTTTAATCCGAAAACGTTTTGCAATGTGTTTGTGATAGCCCGTTTGAGGCATTTTTATATACTTTTTATAAAGGATTTTAAACAATTTTTTTTTAATTAGTTTTGGTAAAAGATTAAGTGAATTTATGAGCAAACAAATATTTTTGACATTTCATGGAATTTTGAGGATGTGTCAATATTTTTTGCTAAAATTTGGTAACTCTTCATTTTTTATGATGCTGGACGTTACCGCAAAATTTGGAGTCAAGTTTTCGCTCGGGCAATTTTGACATTTCTATCTGGCTATTCCCTTTATTATTGGATACTGTTTTGGTCGGTTTCTTCTACATTTTCTCAAAGTTCTTTAAGTTTCTGACAGCTAAAAACCCCGTTTTTTAGCTTCAGGTTATGTACTGTTGATATTTATATTACTTTCCGTTTCTTAGTTTTGGCAACAACTTAATTATCTTTTTCTTCCTCCACATTCGATATCTATCTTATATTGGTTACTATTTATTATTTACTTTTGACACATGAAAGTTATAAACTCAAATATTGACTTAAATTATGAATATTTTACAGACAGCGAAATGCAAGAAAAATAAACAATTATTCTTACTGCTATATTTGTTTAAAACAATACTTACATCTATAAGATAATATTGTCTACAGCCCTTATTCTCATTTGTACAATTAGGACCTTCAAATGTTGAATTCAAACATTGGACTTCGATTGAAAGGGAAAACTACAAGGCAAAATATATTATAAATACGAGCTATACTTATTTGCTAATATCTACGAGCGTTTCATTATCACCCTATTTCTAAAATGAATCTCTGACAAACAGAACCAGAATTTCGAAACTGGTATTAATAATTATAAGTGATTAACTTATTATGAGGTAGATATCACCTGTAAATTCTTATGGGATATGTACTTTTATCAGAATTGTATATTAGCAACTTATAACGCAATTGGTATAATCTAAAATATCTAATACCTTTGGTAAAATTAGGAGTAATAATAGGCAATTGAAGCATTGCATAAGTCCTATTACGTTGCTTGTATACTGTGATTACAAGAAGTGGCAGACTACCCTGCTATAATTTTTTTTAATATACTGCTTTTAACAAATGTTTTAATTTCTTGGGCAGTTTCTCTGACAGACTCTCTGACAGGATACAATACATTCTTTATTATTTTAATTTAGTATATATGCATTTAAAATATAAAAAAAATTATATGGCTTTAATGTTTTTAATTCAAAGTTTTAAATCAATCTTGAATTGTATAAACATAAACACAAAAACGTATTTGTTGTACTTTTTATTTCACTTTATTTTCGCTCCATGCGTGACTGATGCGACACCTAACGCCTTCATCTGACAATTTTGGAGTCCCAATTTTCAGGTTAAATATATGACATATGTTTGACATTGGTAAATACATGCGAAATTGACAATTATTAATAAATTAGTTTTTTAACTATATTTTTTTAGTTTATGTACAAAATAAATGTAGTATTAAAAACTGAGTTTCTCAAAATTCATCATAATATATCTTTTCAACTCCAAACGGAAAAGAAAGCGAAAAATCTAGTACTGGCAAATCAAGTTTTTCACGCAAAAGAGCATATAATTCAAAACAATAATAGTAAAAGTTATCATATAAAAGCTAAAGTCATCTGCAGTTATCTTGAAGCCTTATGAAATATCATTCAAGGTAAATTATTGAAATTGTTCCTATTTCAATTGCATAAAAATGAAATTATGTGATATTTACTTTTTCATATTAATAGCACGAATTCATCTTTTTCTTTTCTCTAATTTATATGTAATCTTTGGGAACCTATAAAAACTACACTCACTGTTTTTGCTATTATTAGCAGAATTAAATACGCAACACGTATTTGCACACATTTTTGATAAAACTTATGCGTAAAAATATTTTGTTTAATATTCCAATTTTGTCATATTTCGCCGCTACGCACGCTGGCATCGTTTCAATGTACCCCTACCATGGTCACGCACGGAGCGAATACTGTGCTTGGCAAAGTTCCGCTTTTAAGAAAGTTGTTCTCTATTGTTTCTAAATATTTAAAGTTTAAAGCCAATATAAATTTATTTTAAAACATGTTAGTTGCGATTTTCTCCATAATAGATGTCAGAGTAAAAATAAAAAAAACAATCCCGGTTTTAATTCATTACTAATTGTTTCATTCAATGAATTGTTTCAAGTTCAATTATTTCTTTGTAACTTTCACCATCTATATCAGATGTTTGTAAACTAATTATAAATCAACAATAAAAGATAAAAAATAAAATAAAATAAAGAAAAATAAAGATTATATTTTATTGATATCTCCACTTACTATTTTATAATTCATTCATAACTCTTTACTGATAACGTATCATTATAATGCTTTTCTGGATCAATTTTATTTGGGATCCAAGGCATTGTATCTGGTATAAAGCTGGCAACAAACTTTTTTTAGTTTGAATAACGATAAAATTTAATCGGTCAAATAAAACTACTCTATAGTTTAAATTAAATTGTGTTTGTTCTAATTGTTCATTTTTAAAACTAAAATTGACGCGGAATTAAAATGATTAGGCATTTTTGAGTTTATGTTCTTGATTTAAATTGTAAAATTACTGCTGAGTAGTGAACCTGGTACACCATATTAATTTGTTGTCAGTAATATTATCTTATAGTATTCTCTTCGGAATAGTATATATTATAATATTCCTGCGGATTAAATAATATATACTATTCCGAAGGAGAGTTGTATAGCATATATTAGCAAAAATATTAACATATAGTACATACTAATAACGCAACAGCTTCCTCTCAGAATTAACTATGATGACAAAGATACATTTCCCTCGGAAAATGGTGAAACATTTTATGTCCTAAAGTAATCAGCGCTTTGTTGTAGAGTCCTGTGAGAAAAAAATGATTAAAAAATGAGTCTTCATAAATGAGGACTTTTTTAATAACTTGAGGTTTGAAGACAACATAGTCCTTATTTCAAATCATGCATACCAACTTTTTCGATACTGTTACGTAAAACATATGAGTCATATTAAAAACCTGTAAATATGTTGTTTATTCACTAATATGTTCTAGATTTTACGACCCTTCGACTAGCTAGCAGAAATTCCAAGTAATAAAAACAGAACCGGTCCATTCAAACGTTCCGGAAATACGTTGAATGAAAAACCAGCCGTAGCCTTTCAGTATTTTCGCCGAGGGTCGACATCCTTCTAGTCTAACAGCTGTATGGGTATATAATATGATTTTCATTGAAAGAAGTCAGTCAGAGAAGATAAATCGAGTCGCGTTTTAAAATGTAACGCACGTATAAATAAATTATGTTATTATTAGTCGAAAATAAATTGTTGTATAGTGGTTTAATAAATTTATATAAAGTATCGTGTTTTAGTACATTAAAATAAGAATAATAAATTAGAAATGATAAAGGCATAACACTGGTGTTTGGAAGTGAAATTGTGAAAATGGCTACGATTTATGAGCTCACAGTTACGGATATAAGAAGACATCTTGGAGGCAGAGAATTAGCTTCTACCGGAAAAAAAGGCTGATTTAGTCCAACGACTAAAGAACGCTTTAAAAGAAGAGGGTTTGGATCTGGAAACTTACATATTTGAAGACAAACATGCTGCTGTCATCTCGTCGATTTTAAAAGTTTCTGGTGACATCTCATCATTATAAAATAATAGATATTACTATATCTATTATTATTATATGATTGTATATATTGTTGATTATTATTATTATTATATTGAAAGTTATTATTGTTTTTTCTATTATTATTATGATTCATCCTAATATCATTGTTATCATTATTACCTGCCATATTACTTCTTTGTATTCTTTGAATAATGTTAATAAAACTCTCTATTGTGTGTGCACGTTCGTGAGTGTGCGTGTTCGCGTTGGAGGATCTAATGCGTTCACACAAAAGTGATATTATCGTGAACCCGACCAAATTGAAAAGATAAAAAGAGTAAGAGCTATAGATTTGATTGGCCTCGCAATATTCTTTCGGAACGCGACATAAATTAATTTATTATTAATTTAATATACTATATACACATACAACGTTGTTTTGGCTTAAAGGACTTGATTCCAAGTCATATCAAATTTAAACAAATGTTAACAAAAAACTAAAACGTAGTGTACACATTGGTGTACACACAAGTGTTGTTTTTCTTGGATTTTCTGTTACCTTATCTACTCAGTTTTTTTTCGTCAATTTGATAAACGAAACAAATTCTCCAGTTTTCTTTGATTTATTTTTGATTGATTGTTTTATATCGTGTTTTATGCAAAGTGTTTTAATACATGTGATTAATAATTATTAAGTACATTCGATATGCCCTCTATAAGACGAAGTAGAAGAACCGGAATTGCTACAATCCAAACTAATTACGGATCTCATCATACTGCACACGAACGTGACGACCGAAATGAACGTAAAAGAATTTGTATATCACGAACCCGGGAAGCGAGAGCGAGAGATTCAACTAATAATCGCGCAAGTTTGAATCGAGCTGCTTTAAATTACGGTTTGTTAATTGACTACAGTAACTACCAATATGTTACTATTAGATCTACAAACTTGGTTTGCTCTCATCGTGAGGAAATGAAATACAAAAATAAGCCAATGAATTATGTTGCGCCAATAGGAAAGTGAAATTAATGCCATTGGATCTACCACCTGAGCCATTGTACTAATTGGTTTCAGGAATAGGACCAGATCCCATACACTTTTTGTCAAATATCCAACAATATAACAATTGCTTTCAAATGACGTAATTTGGGAAACAAACGTAGTTCGCGAAAATTTCAAGCCAACTTAGGTATGTATTTCATGTACAAAATTTCCTGTTAACTAAGTAAAGATGTGTCATTAACCTTCAATTCCCTAATTACCAAGAAATATGTTACTTAGTCATAATATTATTTGGTGATTCAATATTAACAACACTTTTATTGCGCCATTATTATTTTGAAACACAATTTAATTATTTGATGATTAATATTAGTTACAACTAATCATTACATATTGACATACCTATGAATATCAATTATTATTTGGTGGATAGATTATTCCACAAATGGTTTGTGGATCAAGTTCATAATATTTGTGATGATATTTTGTATCAAATGCGGATTAGAAGGGGAAATCCAAATATACATATAAGAGAAGAAATTTACAATGAAGCATTGATTTTAATTGAGCACATGTGCTCAATGATGTCAAACAAACTATTATTTCAATTACATCTTTAATCGTCCAATGCATAATGCTTTTAACCAAGAGTTACACCGAGAAAAACTCTCGGTGTAATCTCAACACTTTAAAAGAATTAATTCAAACACATCTTTCCCTATTGAATGAACAACAGAATTGTTGTTCATTCAATAAGGATGATATTAGCAACAATTCTCTCACAAAATAAAACTGCACTTGCACTCCCGTCAAAGAATCGCAGCAACTTTGTTTAAAGGTGGTCGAAAAGCCCATTCAGCACTAAAATTGAAATTAAACATGCAGTCTGTATTGTGGTATCGTATAATATTTTACATGTTTTCTTTATTATAGACTATATACTAATTATAATTTTTTGTCCACAAGCTCCCTACAAAAAAAAAATCACAAAAACACAAAAAACCGGGTTTGGCCACCAAAAAAATTAAAAAATTTCTAACAAAAACCGGCTTCGGCCACCAAAAAAATTAACAACCCCAAAACCCGGGCACGTAGGGCCCAACCTCTTGAGCACCAACTCGCCGAATTAAACCGGGATTTAGAGCGGAGACTTGAGGCCCAAGTAAGCAATTTTAGTTCGTGGATAAGCCACATTATGATAACAGGAATATAGCGGAGATGCGCTGTCCTAAGTTTTTGCATTCGGTTAGGAAACCATGTTGGTATTCTATTACCCAGGACCTCCACATGAAGAGCATTTGGCTGATTGCTGTGCCTCTATAGCGCATCAGAGTGCTATAGGGGGGAAAGGGATGGTCTAGAGCATTGGAGCACGGTGGGGTGACTCCTATTTATACTTGAATTAACACACCTTGCTACAATGAATTGTTACACCTGATCGTACTATCTAGGGGTGAACATTTCTCATAGGCTGGGTTCAATTAAATTGCTTGCTTGCTTGCCAAGAAATCAATTATCCTGGAACATCAAGAAAAAGCAGAAGTAATCTGAGTTGACAAGAAAACAAAATCGTAAGTGGAGTATCAACTTACAACAGACATGTATAATAAAATTAAACAATAATCATTTTGTTAGTTAAAAAATAAGGCCAAATGTTTTTAAAGTAAAGCTTTGAAATCGGACAGCGTAACTTACGCAATACTGATGTATTGTGCAAGTTACTCAATTGGAACCATTACGTAATAAAATGTTTCCCCAAAATTGTTTCGTCACAAATATTATAAAACAGTTTTGGTAACATTTTACATAATAGCTAGTGTAAATTTCGATTAACGAATAGAATTGACACTTGTGAGGTAGATTTCTTACTATGACTCAAGTAAAAAACTAGTATACTTACCGCTTGGAACATAACCAAACCATATATACAGGCAGCCATTACGAAACAAAAAATTTGAGCAACATTTCTATTTTTGTGGATTGTCCTTGATACAAAGAATAATGTAGAGAATCCTCTCTAAAATAAAACTATCCTAAATGTAAAACATCAGCCAGTTTGATTAGTATCACTTACCCGTTTTTTAATGTTGTCCATGTACACTAACAAGGGAATCAATACTAGTAGAAATATTATAGGAATTGAATAGAACAACGCAGTATCGTGCCTAAAAAAATATTGAAGATAATAATAAAGTATATATTTTTTACTTAATTTTCGCTATATATCATTAATGTCATCAAATAATTAAAAAGAATATTTAAAAGTATATAAAAACATATATATATATAAGTATAAAAAACAAATTAATAAAAAAAGTAATAGCGATTATTTTGACAATATTAGATCTGTTTTATTTAAGGTGATATTATCGAGAATTTCAACTTATCACTAAAGTTAAATGTCACTGGTATATGACATTTTGTTATTTTTTATTTTTTTATTATTGAGTTAATGCCTCGACAACTATGATCATTGGCATGGTACAGTCAGGTACCTAGTGTAGTAAAATGTAAATGTAGTGTAGTAAATATGTAAACACGCATGGGATAATGAACATAGGGTTCAATGGAATAATTCAAATATAGTTCTAAAAGAAACGGGTCGTAAAAAAAGAAAAATCAAAGAAGCGGCTCCAATTATGCTAAATGAGACCAACTGATTCGCAAATTATTCGGCAGAATGTAGTAGGATCTGGTTACCCAAATTGAAAGAGGAAGTTATTAATAAGAAAATATCAATATTAGTAAGTCATTAACATATAGAGGATACATCATTTATGTTTTTTTAAATAACAAACATACAAAATCAGAATTTGGTGTTTATTGAAGGTAAACTAAATGCACAACCAAATACACTTACCATGTCGGGATAGTATTATGAGGTTTTTTTCCCGGTTTTCCCTCATAATTTACTATGGAATCACTATCAGGAGAATTTTACTGTCATCCTGGCATGTGTTTGTCTTTTTAAAGACGAATTACATGCTATGATTTTTTCTGACGGATATTCTCAAGGTAAAGTTGATTTCATGTAATCGAATGAACTATCTTATAAGTAAAGTCGTCCCAGGAGCGCAACTCAACAATATTGGCAATATCATTTTCAAGTCTTCTACTTTAAAATGCATAATGTATGTCTGAATTGTCAATATAAATGAGTCAGATAAAATTAAATTATTAGAAGTATTTTTCACTGAGTAACAAAAAACAAAATTTATTTAATTTACTGTTTGTATTTAGAGAACGATTTTCGAAGTGGAAATTGAAACGTCAATAAACGTTTTTAACCTTTAATTGTGGCTTATTCAAAGTTCAATAGTAATTAATTTAAAATGCCACAGGAAAATAGCTTTAGAAAACTATCTACAAAACAACAAATGATTTGCCATGAACTCTTTCTTCAAGAAAAAGCCACGTAAGAAATGGACGTGGATGTTGCCAGATGGGAACACTAAAAATGAAATTGACTACATACTAACAAACAACAAGAACATTTTCGAAGACGTCACAGTAATAAACTCAATCTTTACTGGTAGTGATCACAGAATGATACAGGCTCAGATTAGTATTAAACACAAAAGTCTACCCAGAAAAATTAAAAAAGAATAAAGAACAATATCAAAACAAATTAAGAACAGTTGAAGAATTAAAGCTAACAGACCTAAATCTAGATCAACTAAACAAAGCCGTAACTGAACAACTTCTAAAGACTAGATTAGAAGTAGCACCAGCAAAATCAGACAAAAAATCAAAACTAAACGCCATATCTTTAGACATGCTACAACAACGAAAAAGCATACTACAAAAAAATAAAAGAAATACAACTAAATACGAAACCTTTAATACAGACATAAGAAGACATATAAAACAAGATTTCAAACGTTATCAAGAAGAACGAATCGAGAAGATTATAGAAGAAAACAAAAACTTAAGATCTATCAAGTCCCACCTAGGAAGAAATAAAATCATATAGATGGAAAGAAAAAAGGTGTAATAGAAAAAAGCAGAACCCAAATATCTAAGATAACAAGGAAATATTATAGTGACCTTTACAGCTCTAAAAACAGTCCACCTGATACAACTCAACAAAACCTGAAAAAGAAAATAATGAATGTAAACTCTGAAATATTACCCCTCATAACCGAAGAAGATATAGAAAAAGCAATTAGAGCTATGAAAAGAGATAAGGATACGTTAGACGATAAAATTCTAATCGAAATGTTAAAAGACGGAGGGGAAAAGATAAAAGACTACCTAAAGATACTTTTCAATAAATGTTTGTTTGAAGGACAAATACCGCAAGAGTGGAACAATGTAAGAAAGGAAATAGATCAAAATTAGCTAACTATAGACCAATATCTCTCTTGTCACAAATCTATAAAATTTTCACCAAACTGATCACAACTAGACTAAACAACAAATTTGATGCATACCAATCAGTTGAGCAGGCAGGATTTAGAAAGGGGTACAGCACAACCGACCACCTTCACAGTCTTAAAATATTGATAGAAAAGATCAACGAATACAACCTTCCAATATACCTAGCGTTTGTTGACTATGAAAAAGCGTGTGACAGCATAGAACTATGGGCAGTGAAAGAAGCGCTAGTTAATTGCCGATTAGATTCACGTTACAGAATGTTAATCCACAACATATATCAAAGCGCCACTATGAGAATTCAGCTAGACAGAAATTTGCAAACTCCATTAATTAGAATTTATAGAGGTGTCAGACAAGGGGATGCAATCTCACTCAAACTATTTACTTTGGCGTTGGAAGGCATTTTTAAATCTATAGACTGGCACAATAAAGGGATTTGTATAAACGGGAAATATTTAAATCATCTAAAATTCGCCTATGATGTACTCCTATTAGCAACAACTATGGAACAACTACGAATGATGATTTCAGACCTAGAAAAAACATCTTTTGAGAAAGGACTAAAAATGAATCTAAAGAAAACTAATATAATGACAAATACAGAAGACAGATCAGTAATTACCATAGGTGAAACAAAGAACACGTCCAAGAATATATTTACTTAGGACAAGCTATTAGAGCAGACAAAAGTAACCAGACTAAATAAATAACAAGAAGAATAAGAATGGGGTGAGCTGCATTCGGAAAACTATCACTAACTATACTATCAAAAACCAAAAAATATCTTAAGAACGAAGGTATTTAATGCATGCGTCCTACCAGTTCTGATATATGGTGCCCAGACGTGGACGTGTACCAAGAGCAACTAAGATAGAATAAGGAAAACTCAAAGAGCTATGGAAAGAAAAATATTGGGAATATCGTTGAGAGATAAAAAGAGGAATAAGTGGTTAAGATACAAAACCGAAACAACAGATGCTGTCGAACATGCATTGAAATTAAAATGGAAATGGGCTGGGCATAACGAAAGATATCAGTGTGGAAGAAATAAATAGGCCGTTGGAGACCATATACTGCAAAAATGTCTAGGTCGACCGCAAATGAGATGAAAAGATGACATTGAGCAAAGCGCAGGTCCATTGTGGAAAAGACAAACAGAAGACAGAGACAAATGGAGACAAATGGGAGAGGCCTATATTTAATACATGAATATATATGTGTTGAATATATTAATAGGTAACAGGTGAGAATTATGAAAGTTGCATAAATACCAGACGAATGGAGAAGCAGTGTATTACAACCTGTCTAAAAAACAAATTGTAAATTACACCAACGTACAAACTACAGGGCATAAAACTAATTAGTCAGACCATAAATATATCTAAGATGCGATTTGCAAACTAAATATACTATTAATTTATATATATTATGTATGTGGGCAAAACTAATGTGAAGTTGCCATGTATTTAGAAGAAGATGTTGTTTATTAGTTGACTTCAAAGATGTCAAATAAAAATGTTTTATTTCCTTAGACCAATTTTTGACAAAAATTTATCCAATTAATTACATTATTATTTTTGCTGCAGATGAAAGTATAAATATTTTTAGTGTGCCTTATCCTTTAAAGACATTGACGATCATGAGGCACATTTTACTTTATCTGCAGCAGTTTTAAAGAGTTCTATTGTAGTTTTTAACCCTCCACTGCTTTAAATTTTATAATCGGGACGAGCGTCGCCCCCTTGGTCCTCTTTTTCTTTCCACTTTCCCTTGTATAACCAATTGCATCAACTTATATTTTTATTTCTTAGTATATGATCATAGTAGTCCTTTTTTCTTTTTTTTTTTTTTTCATAGTGTTAAGTATTTCTTTTTCGTTTTTCATCTTTCTTACTGTTTTCGTATTTTTTTACGTGTAATGTCCATATTTTCCACATTCTTCGATAACACCACATCTCAAAGTTGGCAAGTCTTTTTTTGAGTTTTGTCCGTAATTGTCTAGGCTTTAACTCCGTATAAAATGACATATAATACTTATCATCGAAATACCCTAGTTCTAATTACTATTTTTAGTTTATTGTTGCATAATACTGCATTTATCTTATGAAAGCGCTTCTGGCTATCTCAATATGTCAGTTTATGGCAAGGCTGCGGTCCCATTGTTCATTTAGCTCACATCCCAAATAATTGTATCTGAGTACCTACTTTCTCTAAAGGTTTTCCTTTAACGTAGATTGTTTCGTCTTTAGTCTTGATCTTAATGATAATCATGATTTTGTTTCTTTTGTGTTTAGAGCCATTTCATACCTCTTGCCGAAGCGATCAACCAAAATTTGGTCTGCATTTCTGAGATTATTCATTAGTGTTCCGTTAATTACCAAGCCTTCATTAATGTCTTCTAGTATCGTACTCCTCTTTTTATAGATATCTATTTAGCTTTTTGTTGGTCTACTCGTATTATGGCTTTCTGATATTGGTATAAATTTGTAATGATTCTCACATTCTAATAATTCATTTCTGTGTTTCGTAATGTGTTTTCAAGCTGTCTGTGTTGTATTTGGTCGAAGGGTTTTATATTATTTTATCGTCTAGTTTTTTGTAGACATATTTGTGTATCACTCGTAAGAAGATTTTTAAAACATAGTTTATTAAGCTGATCGATCTATCTTCTTCACATTTCATAGCGTTAAGTTTTTTGGCTATTGGGACAAACTCAGATATTAGCCATTTTTTCTGAATTTCTTCGGTATAGTAAATTTCATTGAGTAATTCTACAAGTATCTCA